CAATCCTCGACCGGATCTATTGGCCTTCGCAGGCGACGTAAATTGTCCAGATGCATTAGTTTCGGCGACAAACCACCATGCATACAAAGAATTCGTTTACTAACTAAAGCCACGAAAGGTAACCAGTTGAACATACTCTGAAATGATCTAATGAAATATTACGAATATCAATAGTGCTGTTATTGATATGAAGCTCCGGAGGTTTTTGAATCTGGAGGAATATGTTACATTATTATGGCCTGATTAAAGTAAAAATTCTTCCTAAATTTTGCCTTCCATGAAGTCCAAAGATATCCAGTTACTCTGAGAAAGTCAAAAAGCCGAAACTCCTCTCGTATTGCGCTCGCAATGAGAAGCGCAGGCATTGAAGAAGTAGCCCGAGTGATAGCAAATGCGAAATATATGACAATTTTCTGAAAATCCAGGTACATTAGCACCCTAGCTCTTTCTAATTGCAAATAGGGTCGCGGAAGATTTGTTTATTGCTGTCACTGATCATAGAAATGATAGGAGACACTGATTTACGGGGTGAGCTGATAGGAAGCACTGATTTACGGGGTGAACTCTGAGGGTTACTCAGATTTCCGGTCCGAAATGTTCAGTTTTTAAATTGCTTGTTACTTTGAATTAGAAAGAGCTAGGACTTTAAAGCATGTACCTGGAATTTCATCCACAATACTCGGCCATTTTTGAAGCGCTCCTCGCACTCATCCAGGAATCCATATGTCTGATTCACCATCGAGCATTCGTGGTTTCCACGGAGCAAAAAAATCTTTGCTGGGAAGCGCACTTTCAAAAGTAACAATAAGCATATTACTTCCAGACTGTTTGGTCCTCGATCGACGTAATCCCCCATAAACAAGAATCTCTGCAAAAAGCAATTAATGCCAGTTTACAGCGATTTTTGATCAATTGTGAATTAAGTTGAACCACGCGACAGATGAATCGAGCTGGTCAATGAAATTACAAGATTTGCAACTGAGGGTAAAATTAAATCTGTTCCGGCAGCGTAGCTGTTCACCGTTGTCCACAATCTTTAGGCTTAATCTGTTTCAACAGAAAATGAGCGAAGTGATCAATGAGAGGCGAAAATCTTGTGCACGAGTATGTGAAGTACATGAGGGAGGATGTTCGCAGACCTCATATGGCGGTCGACCGCACTGATGGAAAATGCGTAAAAGATCCACATACTGGCCGTGAATATCGCCACAAATGTTGATCGGTACCGAAAGCTCCAACAATGTGCCTTCATTTTGCAGTGTTTCTCTGCAACCATTTAAAACCG